ATTTGTCCACATAGCTCATTACATGCACACATACTAATTTGGTCTTTCCGTGCCTTTTTCTAATTTGGTCTGTTCCCCCATAACTGGGACTCAGCACCCCCTGCTCTGGTACCTTGTTAGCTGGTGCCACCTTATCTCATGTTATGGAACAGTATGGTATATGCCTCTGTTTTCCAGACTATGTGTCCTTGTTTGTCTTGTTGTGTTAGACAGCCTGTCTGCTTCCAAGGCTCTGTGAAACTGTGCAACTGTGTGACCCAGACTCTTAGAAATCAATTAACCTCTGCTGTCCAACCTGAACCATTCTAAGCCAATAAGCATATACCTCTAAGCCAATTCCCACAAAGCAAACCTTTAAATACCATTTTCTAATCCATCAGTTTGTAGGCATCTGGCAATCTGTGAGGAGAGGTGGAATTACTAGACCCCCTTAGCCAGAGGCGTGGGGGGGAGGGGGTCTGCCACACAGCCTGAGAAAGTGGCTGCCTGCTTCAGGATCTGCCTGCAAAAATCAGCTGGCAGCTGCCTCAAGTTTGGTAGACCCCTAAATATAATTATTAACCCAGGAGATCATGGTCTACTAGATGAAGTGACTAAGTACTGGCCCCAGTAATACCATTATTCTCTTGAAGACAGGCATAGAAGGGGATGAGACCCACTTTGGCAACATGCTGTGTATGAAGGTAAACATTCATACCAGCAGGACTAAGATGAGGGATGTTGGGTTTTGCTTTTAAAATTTACAGTCAGTAAATTGACCTACTTACCTCCCCACCTTTGAAACAGACTATTAATTTTTCCTTGTAAGTTCATCATGTTCATCTCGGTGACCAAAATATCACATGCAGGATGCATCTACATATACTATTAGCACACAGCAATAAACTCCGGTGTATGGCACACCAGACTTTACTGCTCCTGGGCACCACATTTACATGTGGAAAAAACTATTAAGTGGAAATAAAGTGGAAAAAACTAGTTCATGCCTGAAATTATAACTCTGCTGTTATAATCGGTAGATGCATCTATGGTTGTGACCCCGAAGTCAAGGATGATGTTGCCCAAGTGAGAAAGAGAAACAAACTTTGCATACAACTCAAGAGGTAATCAAATAAGGAGGGAATGCAGCAGGCCATACACTACAGACAATCTCTCTCAGGAGAAGCTTCCAATGAGACATCGCTGGTCTTTAATGGGTTGAATCTACCCCTATTGAAGTCAGTGATGTAAGATCAAATCTTAAGGCTCCAATTCAGTAAAACATTTAGGCAAGTGCTAAAGGTCACATTATATCAAAGGAAATTAAGGACATACTTAAAAGCTTTGCTGAATGTGGATGGGCAGTTAACTGGGTGCATTAAATTGGTAATTCTATCATTTCCATGTACAAGATTCCAGACTTTATTTAACTACCATGTTTCCTTTGCAACATGTTGATTTACTGTAAGCAACCTACTACATTTGGGATCTTAAAATTCTGAGACCGTGAGAACTCAGAATCGTGTAACACATACACCATCTAGCGTGCAACTGCTAGCATTGCATCTCACAAAATGTTTCCCTACATTCTTGGTAGTGTTAAAAGTGATGGCAAATGCTAGAGGCAAGAATTTTTGTGGGTGTTATCATTTATTTAAAAATTAAATAAAAGTGATCGCCCACAAAAATCCTCTCTCTCTCTACTTACTTGCCATTAACAATGATTTAATTGTCTACAGTTATTTTCTACTAGAACTCACAATCATTCTTAGAGAAAACAACAACAATAGGCATTATACAATATAAGTCCTACAGTGATGATAATGCAAATCTATAATTAGATCCATAAACACATTCAAGGACAGAATGTTAGGTTGCAAAGTCAAGTACTCAAATACTAGAATGATAGTTGCTTTTGCCACCATAATTCAGTTTCCTTTTGGATATGCATGTGGCACAGCCTTTAATTACACCATCACATTCTAATAGCTGTTGACGTGCTAAACAAGTTATACTGAACAAGCAAAGAACTCAAAGAAAAGACTTGGGGACAACAGTGAACACTTCTAGACACAAATACTCTAATTAATGTGCCAACCTTAATATGCCAGCAGCCAGTGATAAAATATGAAGGGGACAGGAAACACAGAGAAATTTTAAACCCCCCCAAAAACAAACAATTACAAATGGAAGATACTAATGTCCTAGAATAAGAGTCTTGGTCTGTTAGATCGAACAATGGGTAAATTACGGCTTCGTTGGAGTTTGTGGCAAAACTCCCATTAACCTTAGTAGAACTAAGATTTTCACCAAGTAGTGATTAGCACAGGGAAGCAAGTCATTAACTTGAAACTCTCTATAATTAAGCAAATTCCTTACTTGCTCTGTGCCTCATTTAACTGATTTACAAGATATCACTTCTACCTTGCAGAAGTGTTCTCAGGCTCTAGCCTTGTAAAAATGTTAAGGCCTTTCTCTCTCCCAGCCTGTCCTTTCCTTTCCTTCTACTCCTTAGGTTTCTCTTCTCTACCGTCAGCCCAGCTGCCTGTCCTCCCTTCTCTGTATGTTCCCTGTCCCAGGGATGGCTTGAGGTACAAGGTGAGCCATCAGTACAGTGCTGTAACCAGCAGGGAAAACAACACTGGCATGCATCAACCAATGCATTTCATGTAAAACCAAGAAAGCAATTCTTCTGCTTTGCTTGGCATTGATGAGATCACAGCTGGAGCACTGCATCCAGTTCTGAGTGCCACACTTCAACAAGGATGTGGAAAAGCTTGAGAGAGCCCAAAGAGCCACCTGTGTGATCAGAGACTTGCGTGGCAAGCCATGTGAGGACTGGCTGAGGGACTTGGGCCTCTTCAGCCTAAAAAAGAGAAGGCTGAGAGGCGGCTTGGTAGCAGCCTACTGCTGCATCAGGCGAGTACATCAAGGGCTCGGTGAACAACTGTTCACCAAGGCACCCTTGGGGAAAACCAGAAGTAATGACCACAGATTCCTGGAAGACTGTTTCAGGCTCAACATTAGGAAAAACTTTTTCAATCAGGGTGTCCAGACTGTGGAATAAGCTCCCTCCAGAGGTGGTACGATCGCCTACCCTGGAAATCTTCAAGAGGAGACTGAACAGTCACCTTGCTGGGGTCACCCAACCCCCAGTTGTCTTTCCTGCTTAGCACAGTGGGGCTGGACCTGATGATCTTGTGAGGTCCCTTCCAGCCCCTTACAATCTATGACTCTGTGACTTTGTATGTCAATTCTCCTCAGGGTAACAGGAGATTCGTGTGACCCACCAAAGGGCTGACACAGGGAAGAGGGGCTACAGTGGCAAGGTACTTGCCTGCATTCTGCTAGTTGCATCTACCTCTCTCCCCAGCTGTGACCCAGCAGCAAGTGCAGTAGGCAGCTTTTTGGGTGGGAGCAGAAGCCATAGCTGCAGTCCTCTCCCCGTATTCACAGACCTTCCCAGGACTTACCTGTGGACCCTTCTGGGAGAGGGCTGCAACCGTTCCTTCTCTCTCATGAGTGCATCTGGTTGGGTTGCCCCATCTTCCTGACTCCTTTAAGCTGGAGGCTGCCTTCAAGGTAGGCAAAGGAGTGTTCAGTGTCATATACTGTCACAGTTCAAAACAAAGGGCCCATTTGTCTTTTTTACTTCAGCTACCCTCTGGAAAAGAAGGCAGAGCAAAGATGGAAGAAGAGAGCTTTAAATTGCCTGCAAAGCTTCTGTGGGCGCTCAGGCTAGCCAAGAGCTGCCTCAACCAGCTCACATAATCATCACCTAGCCACAAGGGCCTTCCAGATACTTTCCACAGTCAAAAAAAACAAAACCCTTATCCTCCCCACAAACAGAGGCTGGGTCAGAGAGTAATGAAGATTTACCCTAGCAATTCTCTACCCACTGCAGCTGCTTACATCACTCAAAAGATTTACCTACACCTATTTCAGCTGCTTTTAAGGCCTCTCAGCACTGCCACAACTATATAAAGGGGCTGAGGGGAAAGCAAAGACAAAGGTCCACATTTTGCAGTGAATATTTTGAAAGAGCATAGTACAGCACATAGAAGCATCTTCCATTACCTCAGACCACCCATAACTTCCCCTAAACTGCTCACCAAATTTATTCTCCCTTAAGAAGCTCTCAGGTACCTGAATTCCTGCTCCCTGCCTCTCCTTAATTAAGGCAGCCAGTACAAAGTGTAAGCAGAGGCTGCTGAAATATTGGTTAGCTAGAATGAAGAAATGGCCAAACACCTTAACCAGTTGATTCAAAGCTCGTATATTCTGCAGATGCAGAGCTGGCTACTCAGTTCAGATTTATAATCCAGAAACAGAGAGTGCTTGCTTCCTTTTTTCATTTTTTTCAATAATGATGTTTTCTCAGGCTTGTGAAGAAAACCTTAGGCACATGACCTGAGCATAGCTGATGCAATCATGTCATCTTTAGTTTCCGGGCAGCTTGACACAATACAGTAGCTCTGAGTGCAATGAACTATCCTGTTCAACTCAATGAGGCATTCAGTTCTGAAACTTAGATATGACCGTTGAAGTCAGCATAGTTAGCTCTTTCACTGCTCCTGATTTCAAGCATGCTTCCCTCACAAGTTTTTGTCTACTTCCTACAGCCTTCAGTAGTGCCAAAAGCCCCAAATATCCCAGCTGCTCAAGCTTTCAATACCCCTGACAATTTATGCCCTGTATTTAGGACCATTTTGCTACAAACCTCCACAGCACAATGAACACTGAAACTGTGGAGAAGAGCAAACTCATGAGAAAACACAAACAAATAGATTTTATATTAAAATGAATAAATGCAAGGGCAATTGTCCTGAGCTTTTGATTTATTTATTTAAAAAAAAACTATTAGGAAGCTGCTAAAGTATTTTAACTGGAGTGACCCACCATCACTTTTATTTCAGTATGTACATCCCCATTGGCTGCAGGGAATGAGGCCTGCATTGTAAGACAAGATTTGCAGATTTTCATCATTGTTATATGTTTATTATTCACTCTTACTTTTTCAGGTCATGGCTGTGCTGCTAGCCCCTGTACAGCTGCTAACAGTAGCGGTAACCATTTACCTAGAGCTAGTGAAATCCATTCAGGGCGGTGTTTATTATGGGATCAAGCAGCTGCCACCCCAAGTCCCACAGTATCAGGCCCTCGGACAACAAGTACCTCACATGCCATTGGGCAAAGAAGGGGTTCCAATGCAACAAATGCAGCAAATGCAACACATGGGCAAGGAGGTGCCCCACATGCAGTATGGAAAAGAATACCCTCACCTGCCTCAATATATGAAAGAAATACCACAGCTGCCACTGCTGGGCAAGGAGATGGCTTCAAAGAAAGAAAAAGGTAAATCTGTCAGAGAACTCACCTTTTCACTCCTCTCAGCTCCCCAGAGACTAACTGTGTTAGGTTTCCCAAAACATTATTTGACTGCAGACCAAAAATGGTCCTATAACATCCCTGCCAATTGCTTCAGCAGCAGGTAAGTTCACACAGCTTGCACCTCACTCCCTGAGTGATTGGCCAGGTTCCCTCCAGCGAGCAGAAGAGCATGCGGGGATGCATATTCATCGTGCATGGCTGGATATGGTCTTGTGACTGTTTTCTGAAAAAGAGGGCTGGCTTTCCTCCAAGCCAGCATGCACTTTCTGAGCAGGCCTATATTAGCATATTTGCCACCACCCTTCAGCAAGCCAGAATTTGTATCATGCCTGACGTAGGTGTGAATGAAGATATTCATGTATGCATCCACTCACCTAGACTGCAAAACCAAAGCTGCCTTCATAAAAGAAGAGTAGGAAGTCTGCATTCAGTTCCATGCTCTACCACAGATTCTATGCAGGACCATGGTCATCTGTAAAATGGAGATAACACTTCCTTACCTTATAGGGGTACTGGAAGGAAAAATATAGCAAAGCCTGTGTAACATCTGGATACTACAGTAGGAAGAATCCCATAATGAGTTGCAATATATACCTCTCATGACTAAGGAACATATAAACCATCTAGCCCCTGCCTTATCCTGTGGCTTTCCAGCATCTCTAGTAAAAATACAGTTTTTTTGCACTGAAACATTAGGTTATATCCCATCCAAAAATCTGGTGCAGCAAGAAGACAGAGAAATGCTAACTGACAAAGAATCCCATTGTTGCAAAATATCTGCTAGTCAGCTGGGGATTTCTCTGTAGACCTGCTATTTTCTCAGCAGACCCATAGAAGGGTCTGAAAGCCTGGGGAATTTTTCCATGAATACCAGTAGGCTTGGCCAGTCTGCATCTGTAACTAGCTGTAAAATTCATTTACTTCATAGGATGTCAGGAGTATTACAGGGTCTATACAGTGTTTTGAAGATACAGAGTGCTGTAGGTGACATTAGCCTTAGGTCTTTGTGACTCTGCCTGGATTTAATGGGTGTTAAGAAACTTCCTTCAACTTACAGAGCTATGCACCTGCTGGTTTTCCCCTCACACCTGCCTGTCAAGTGGTGGGCAGAGGGAGGGGGGACATAAGTTTGGCTCTATTAATGCAGTGGGTGTCAGAATTTGCTGCTAAAATATGTCAGCGCAATTAGTAATACCCACTTCTGAAGCGAGGGGAAAACAAGGTTGGAAGGGCACCATTCAGAAACACAGCACTTTCCCTGTGCTACCTTTTGGGATACTATGCTACACATTCACTCATATATAGGGTCAATAGCAAGCTATAATCTATTTTAAGCACTTTGAGACAATGAATCAATGCAGATTATTCAGTCCATTCAGATCTTTAGCATCAATATTTAGGGACACAAAGGTTGGTAGTGGGATCCAAGGAGAAAGAAGTGGGTGGTTTAAGTACCATGGGTTAGGAGAGACTCGGGGTGCCCAATTTCAGGACCATGTTGAAGACTTCACATCAGTAGCTGCATTTTCTTGGTTAAGATCAATTCTTAATATTTGACTACAGATTTTTGTGTTTGACTGGTTGGCAGCAGTGGCTTTAAAACTGCAGACTATTTATTTTTCTCAGCAGATCCCTTTCCTAAGATGCAAGCAATTAATCTGGAATATTAAATAATAAAGTGTATACTTTAAAGATATGTTTATTGAACCCCTTATCAGGGTGAAAGCATTTGAACACGATATCTTGTCCTGTTCATCAGGTCTGCCCTAGAAACTTCTGCCAACAATGATATTGATCAGCAAGGTGATTTTTTTGCAATGCTTTTATGCCAACAAGCACTTGATGTAGATGAAGTCGTTTCAGCATGAAATTGCTTTTTTCTCACTAGATTACCACGGACGTGCGCTTTGTGGTGCCTCAGAGGCTTTTGAGGCACCACAAAATGCACATGAAGCATATCAAAAGGTTCTCTGCACTGCATATTTGTGCAGAGCCAAAATTAGATACTGGGAAATCCTGGGATCTAAAAAAACGGGTTTAAAAAAAGTGCGGTGGTGCACATGGCAGCAGTGCTGGCTAGTAGGCCTGTATGAAGCGGCTAGTATTCACTTCGGATTCAGCCAATTCAGGGGACGGTGATTTGATTCGGTGAGTCGAATCACTGTCCCGATTCAATTAGGCCAAATCTGATTTGGAGTCAGGCCCATCTGAATCAGCCAGACCCATTCCCCGCCC